ACACACACACACACACACACACACACACACACACACACACACACACACACACACACACACATATATATATATATATATATATATATATATATATATATATGTACATATACATATTGTATATGACATTTATGTATCCCTATACATATTTTTAATATGCTCGGCCCGAAGACGTATCGTCTTACTAAGGTGCCTGATATCACACACCAGATTGCATCGCCACGGAACCAAATGGCACCCGCGGCAGATGGTACAACACCACTGCAATACGCCAAGCCTCAAGCTACAGCCACGTACGCACAACCACCCAAAAAGCAACACATACAGCAACAATCACAACGACAACAACAGCAACAACAAGAGCAACAGCAAGAGCAACAGCAAGAGCAACAGCAGCAGCAACAGCAGCAGCAACAGCAGCAACAACAACAACAACAGCAGCAGCAGCAGCAACAGCAGCAACAGCAACCAGTAACAGTGCAACCACAAGCACCGACACAGGCACAGGCACAAGCACTGGCACAGCCACAGGTATATGTACAACCACAAGCTACCGCTACCACACCACAGGCAGTGAGTGATGGCCAGGCTCAGGGGTTCGTACAACAGCCGCCCAGGTTACCACAGGCACCCGTAGCACACCCCCAGGGCCAACACACAACACCCGAAGCAGAGGAGCAACGCCAGCGCTTGGCTGCACGGTCTATGGCCACACTGCCACACCCCTTTACACCACAGGCCCAGGTTGGAGTGCCGGTAGTAGGACAAGCACACACACAGGTACAGGCAATGATGCCCAGTACAGCACAGAGTGAGAAGAATAGTGCAACCGTGCTGCTGCAGGGCATGGGACAGCCACAGGCAGGTGTAGGTCAAACGAATCCCCAGACACAGACACAGGCACAGACGGGTGTTACTCAGGCTCACACGCAGGTACCATATAGTGGATTGCCAGCGCCTGGGGCACAGTACTATGTGACGACTACACAGCCACAGCCGATTCAGTCCCAGGCCCAGGCCCAGACCCAGACCCAGGCCCAGGCCCAAGCCCAGGCTCAGGCGCATGTACTGGCGCATGTACAGGCACAGCAACAGGGACAACCCCTACAGCAGCCACAGAGTGCGACTGAACCGACGGCGAGAAGCACGTCTCAGAATGCACTCGCACACCCGCAACCGCCGCAGAAACCCTTGCAACATGCAGCCAAGCAGGCACAGCAACAGGCTTTAGCACGTCCGCAGGTGCAGACACTCGCACACCCGGCACCTCCCATGCCCACCCAGGCTCAGTTGCAGGGCACTATGACCCTACTACCGCAGACGCCTACTATAAGGCAGACGGGGTCTATCCTGGTACACCCTGGGCCGCTACAGCCACCACAAGCACAAGCACAAGCACAGGCACAGGGACAAGGTCAAGTATCCGGGGCGATCAAGGGGACAGGAGCGATCCCGCCCATGGGGCAGTACCCCGAACAACACGCGCAGTCTATACACGTCCAGACACCGCAGCAGCAGATGCAGCAACATATGTCGGCGTCACAGTTCAGAGTTCCTACTAATAAGAGGTATGCAACTATTATATGTGCGCGCGCGCGCGTATGTGTATGTGTATGTGCGTGCGTGTACATGTGCGTGTGTATGAATGTAAGTATATAGGCATGTATATTTGTATGTGTATGTATGTATGTGTGTGTGTGTATTTGGAGCGCAAGTGTGAGGCGGTGATATCCCACCAGTTCAGATCTGATGTATATAACTATGGTTTTACAGATACGCCTCGTAAATACACATCCTTATCATGTCATATATATATATATATATATATATATATATACAACACACACACACACACACACACACACACACACATATATATATATATATATATATATATATATATATATATATATATATATATATATATATATATATATATATATATATATTATTTGTGCAGTATCTACCATATCTCGAGTGTCAGACGTAGTCTAGTTGCGCTTCCGTCATTAGGACACAGACCTAGGATGTTTAATCATTCTTGAAACTATTTTCATACAACCCCCACAACTTACCTATGTTATCCTCAGGTCGATACCAGCGCACCACCATCCGTACGGACAGGTGGCACCCAGGCCAATGGGACAACAGCAGGACTATGTGTTCAAGCCTACCTATGGCCCAGATTCGTTCAGATACGGCTCAGAGGTGGAGAAAACTAACTTGCCTACGCGACAGACTACAACCATGCCTAAAGTGTGAGTGGTGTATCTATGAAGTTGTGATTGATGAGTCGATGATAGGTGTGTCTGGTGAAGTGTTAGTGAACGTATAGATACGAGTTCATCTGGTGAATAGCGTGCGGCGTAGAAAGGGGGCATAAGCAAAGGCCTGCTGTACTTCTCAAATACAGTCTTACAGAAAGTGAAGGACAACTATACGTTCATTTCATACACGCAACGAACATAATTGTCAACTATATGTGCAAAAGCCCTATTATACACACAACTAACACAGCTGTCGACCCTGCATGTGTGTTCACCACAGTCGGGGTGGCAGTAGGGCGCAGAACGGGGGCATAGGCAAAGGCCTGCGGCACTTCTCAAAGACAGTCCTACAAAAAGTGAAGGACAAGGGGACTACCACGTACATCGAGGTGGCGGAAGAGCTAATGGAAGACTTGGCCAGACAATACGCCGAGGAGAAGGCCAATGGCAACAGCGAGATTCAGACACGGGAGATTGTATGTTAAATAAATACGAGTGTTTGTTAGTGGTAGTAAGATAAATTTTATGGTACAATATGAGGATTGTATGTTACAAAAGGAGGGATTTTATGTTTACCATAGGATAGATTGTGTACTAGAATAGATGTGATTTTTTGTTATGATAAGAGTTTGTATATAGATAAGTTTGTTCTGTTTTCTAGATACGAGAGGTTGTATGGTATGTTCTGGTATAGCTGGAGTTTGTATGTTCAGTTCTGTTTTCCACATAAGGGAGATGGTGTGTTGTGTTCTGTTTTCCACATAAGGGACATGGTGTGTTGTGTTCTGTTTTCCACATAAGGGAGATGGTGTGTTGTGATGTGTTTTCCACATAAGGGAGATGGCGTGTTGTGTTCTGTTTTCCACATAAGGGGGATGGTGTGTTGTGTTCTGTTTTCCAGACATGAGAGATTGCATGCAGTGCTCTGTTTGTGAGGTAGGATTGAAAAATGGCGCTCTCGAGCGTATTTTTTTGGGACCGTATTTATTATTGTGTTTTTTGTTGAGTAGGTTCGAGATTCGAGATCTTAACTTCAGGCTACGGCTCTATGTAACACATGGTTTCTGAGGCTTGCCAATTAATGCTCACTAACTAGGATTAAATATAATATCAGACATTTGTTTTACACCATAGATTGTGTAGTGCCTACGTGTTCGTGTTCTTGCTCTGACTCACTATGCACGCTGCATACATATGTCTGTTGCTCTGACTCACTATACACGCTGCATACATATGTCTGCGCATTTGCCTGTAGTGTGATAAGCGTGAATGCATATACTTCCAGTCCTCCAAAAGTTTAGCAGTACTGATATATAGCTTCACCTCGGGGCATTGATCACAAAAACATCAGGATTTGCCTTCAGTGTGCATATGTATGTACCCTATGTATGTATATGCCCAACTGTATATACCGAAAGGGGTCCTAAAAATATAGCAGAGCTCTGATAAATCGTTGTATGTATCGCATGGATATTTATGCACAACTGCATATACCAAATGGGGGGTTCAAACGTATCGCAGAGCTCTGATACAACGCTTCACCTCTCAGAATAGATCACAAGAACATCAATATTTGTCTTTAGTGTGCGTGTATGTACGTATCGTATGGATATATATGCACAACAATAAACCAAATGGGGTGTTCCAAAAGTGTCGCAGAGTTCTGTATTCACAATCCACCTCGCAGGGTATTGATCACAAGAACATCAGTATTTGCGTGTAGTGTACTTATGTGTATGCATCGTATGGATACCTATGCACTACTGTATATGCAGAAGACTTTCCGAAAGTATCGCAGAGCTCCGATACAACGCTCCACGTCACAGGGGTATTGATCATAATAACGTCAGTGTTTGCCTGTAGTGTGCGTATATGTATGCAGTTATACGCACGATACGCACAACTGTATAGATAGGTGATTTTTCCAAAAGTATTGCGGAGCTCTGATTCTACGCTCCACCTCACAGGGCATTGATCACAAGAACATCAGGCGGAGGGTGTATGATGCGCTTAATGTGCTGATGGCTCTAGATGTCATCAAAAAAGAGAAGAAGGAGATTAAATGGGTTGGCCTGCCCACGAATTCGGCTCAGGAATACGTACATTTAAAGGTGAGTGTGATCCCCCCAAATAACCATATTCCTTGAGTTTTGCTCTACAAGTCAGTTTGGTATACAAATCAGGTACTTCGCAACCCGAATTTAACAAAAACTCTGCCACAGACAATAGTAATTCGACGGTAAAAAAATCCAATTGCATATATATTTAGAGTCATGCGGAACCTTAACAACAGTTAAAGGCACGCCTTGGAGCCAAAACAAGTGGTACATATCATAGCGGGCTGGCTTGTGGACTATCAAGAGATGTCCATTGCAAGTGCAGTTGGCGCGTAGGTATCTATCCGATTTCTCGCGTTGCTCTCAAGTACATCATTGTGCGTTTTAGTCTTCAAAGTCTTTTCGCTCGAGTGGTTTTTGTTTTCATGTGTACAGCACAGGTCTGAGAGACGGTTGTTGTTTTTATGCATACAACATAAGTCGTCAAAGTATATCTATGTAGCTGTCTTACCCCGCTGTCCTTCACGCTTTCATGCGGCCCAAGTATCTATTGTCACACGATGTGGGTGTATATCTCCCTACCTACACAACTCAAGTATGTTTGTGTTCCTATCTATCCAGAAGCCATGGTCGACCAATGTACCTGTCTAGTCCCCCGAACTGTGCATCTGTATTCCCATCTGTAAAGGAAACATTCAAGCTCTCCAATATATGTCTACAAACAGTCTCAAGTAGATTAAAAGACGTATCTAGACCCCACAAGCACGCTGCTCAAGTACGTCTTCAATACCACATATGCAGGAAGAGCGGGCTCAGCGTATCAAGCGCATCACCGAGAAGCGCGCACACATCCATGATCTGCTATTACAGACTATCACCATCAAGAACCTCACAGAGAGGAATCGAGAGTTGGAGAAGAAGCACCCACGCCCCGCCCCGAAACACTGCCTGAAGCTGCCGTTCTTGTTGGTCAACGCTCCCAATGAATGCCATATCGACGCGGAAATGGGCGAGGATGGGTATGTCCTTGCAAAGATGGCTTAAGAGTATATCCAGTCAAGCCAATATAGCAGAAGCCAATATACCATAAGCCAATATGCATTGGTATCCGAATCCCTATCCTGCGGCAAATATGGATGGTAGTTTGTATGTTTGCATACAAATAACCCTTGAATTGCATGTGTGAAGTTCTATGTATCCCAACGTAGTCAGTGCCGAGCTGGCTTTGTCCCTCCCGAAACGGTACCACAAAACATGCCCAAGTATATTCCCAATCATTGCCTGTAGTATTCAGTGGCAAAATATGGTCTATAACCCCGTCCGAATTTATTACACTTTCTCTTTGTTTGATTCGAGCACTCGCAATCCCACTTTCCCGGTGTGCTTGAGCTGATATTCATCTTTTCCCCATTCTTCCAATTCCACAAACCAAAATTTAATCTTTCTGCACCATTTTTATGATCCGCCTTACCGCAGATCGGCTTTTTGCTTCAACTTCAGCCAACCTTTCAAATTGAGCGACGGGTTTGAGGTCATGAAAGGCCTGAACTTCGGTTTTGACCTGGAGAAGAACAAATGCAAGCCTGAGCATATAGAGAAGATCAAGAGTCTTGTACCACCCAGTGTGGCGTCGCACATTGACGGTGGGTGCAGCCGCAAACCAATATTGGTCATATATGCATTTGTGTGTTGTCGATGTGAACTGTGATACTGAACTTTATTGCTTATCACCATTGAAAGTAGGTCGGTTAGAGAATACGTTTGTTTTGACCCGTGCGAGCCGAGTATCATTTTGTGGAGGTTCCCCCCCCCCCCCCCCAGTTTGCAATATACCAAGCCTTAGGCGCGAAGCCCATCCCCAGATATTAATGCAACTCTCACACTCAACTGCATCAGATATGGTCACGTATGGCTTCAAGAAAGGACCACAGATGGACACGCTCGTAGCACCGCCAGCACAGATTATGGCAGGTACACCCCAGGCAATGACATCCACACCCCAAGCAGTTGTGCAAACACACACACAGGCTCAGAGCCATACAACACCCGCCGGTACGAAGCCCTTGACCGCACCGAAACAGGGCGGGGCTGGCTCTAAAAGTAGATTGTATGCGACTGACCAGAAGTGAGACGTTGGGGATAGGTAGTAGGTAGGCTATGGACTCAGAGTGAGAAGATAGGACGGTCACTTAGTTCAATAATTGATTAGAAAAATGAGAGGTATTGTTGTGTGTGGGGATATGCCGTTTCTGTTTGCGTGCGTCGGGAGCCGTAGTTGGTACACCATATAGTCAAACCGATGTAGAAATACAGATAAATCTTTGAACGGTGTCAAAGTGGATGACGAACAAAAGTAATCGCAAGATATTGCCGATGTATATGTTCTCGAGATACAATAAGACTTATCTCGAATGAAATGTAGATACAAGTATTTATATATTTGAAACATATCCAAACACATATATATGCACGATGCATATATACATATACGTTTTGAGCATGAGTTGGTATTTGAAAACTGGTTCAATCTGCACGACTTGGCAAGGCACAACATGAACCGCAGATCAAGGACTTCTCAAGTCAAAATAGCAGTGCAACGTTCATGGTAAGTGCACAGACTGTCGCGAATAGTCCCGAGCTCTATAGCATGATGTCTGTACTGTCGCAAATAGTCCGAGGTCCATCACGGGCATGTCGAGATAGTCGCAAACTTCTGCGACGACGCTATATGCGAACGGTTCAATCATATGCCACTAGGTTTCAACCGTTCATATACTAAAATCATTGAATACTGGAATACGCACGAAGTATACACTAACAATACATTTGTGGGGAAATAAAAAACTGAGCATTCGATTACAAATACCAATATAGGAAAAAAAAGCAATAATCTATACAGTATTTATTATAATCCATCCGCTTAAAGCTGACTATGTCTTTCAGTTTCGAAATGGACTTATCGGTCCATTAACGGCCAATTCTCAATTGCTCTTTTATGAGCAAATGCCCAAAAATATTTTAAGTCGATTGTATTTTGGGCCCATGAACAAGTATGTCCCACCAAGCTACAATCGTAGCACAATAGTTTCTCAAGAGGCGACACAGAACAGATTATTCCAGAATGAATCCACCCATAAGTCCCCTCAGTGCAAAGACGTGATGAATGTTTTAGCTTATGTACAGATCCAAATATGTCTATATGCATGACAGATGTGTGTGCACGACATGCATCTGGACCGAGCTGCAATAGAGATGAATAATCTACATTGGATTCTGGAGTCGGAAATGCTTTTGATTGTTGGCTGACATTCCGATTTTGAGATACCTGGTGGTAGAAGCAGATGGAAAAAAAAAAGAGTCAGATGATATTGTCTATAATGGTATCAGCATCAATTGAAGTACACTGGATGGATTGAACTTACTTAAGTTCCTATACAAACAATGGGGGATGTACTGCCCGAGTTATGATACAGGCCAAAATGAGATGCACGGAAGCATAAATATACGCGGGATATTCATCAGATGACTATTAAAGGAGAACGGAACAAAAACAACGCACGTCACGCAAAGACTTGTATACATAATTCGTTCGCAGGTGCACGTCATGATGAGAACATTCACATAAGCGGATACACACTGTGTAAGAAGCATCCCACACATGTCCGTGCGTATAGATTACATACAAAACCAAAAACTGAATATGTATGTTCAAACGAAATGATTCGCAAATACACTTTTGATATACAAATATATATATATATACACGCATATATATATACACACACACACATATATATAGTCATACATTTCTAATAGTTCGATTACGAATTCCCACGATTGAAAATAGACACAGGTCGATAGCAATACATCAGTACTTATAATGGGACATAGATAAAAAAAGAAGGTACGAATACATGAACATTAATGTTTCGACAAGACTTGATATTGAAATTTACCCATAAGCAGACTTATATATATATATACCAAGGCAAAATCACAAATAAACATACAAGGAAGGCTCAACGCGTCACCACATGAGTGTATCCATTAGTTGGAAACACACGATCTTTAAAACTAAATTCAGGCCCATTTTAATATACTAGCATTTGACCAAGCATATATGTTATACTCAACATGTACAATGTACTATATTCAATAATGTATTTATGATGCGCGTAAAAGATGTATTGGAACGCTGCAAGAAAATCTGATGCAAACTACAATAACGTTTGCGATGACACATTATCTGCGTTTGTATCGTTCTTATTTACAGCCTACCCACACTCGCCTATAAAACCACAGACAGCAAATAGAACCAGGCACTAAACCACAGACACCATTAAATAAGCTCAAGTATAATATATATGGATAAACAGCTCACGTATATAGCATGATATATACATATTCATACATACATATATAGGTATATATAGCAGACATAACTGAACTCTTGATTATCAATATATATATATCTATATATAATAAGTATACGTATAGAAATGTATAGAAATGTTATCAAAAGCTCTGGTTACAAAAGTTGGTATATCAATAAAAAACGCACTTATACCACTGCGCACATGATGGGCAGTGGCTATCATATCTACACAGCTAAGCTACTGAATACACTTATGTGGACGAAAATAATCGTGGATGTGTACATAGTATACATACTAAAAAATGATACAAAGTGCCACACAAGGATTTTGATTCTCGATAGCACACATGCGAACAGAGAGTAGTTTTGAACGCATGCTAGTAATAGTTGTATACATGTGGAGAGATCGTTACCAAATGCGATCATACATAAGTGAGAAAAACAAAGCAACACACTCGACCGTGCAAAATATAACAAGATGAGAGAAGTACTACATATTTGAGAAGCTGAAAGGCCAACTACAGAAAGTGTGTATAGAGCGGCGTGTATACACAAGATGCCCCATAAGATCTCCGAGGCCCTGTTGTAAATGAACTTCATCAACTGTAAACCAACACATAGATTTTGCTTCACTCAACATTACTATTTAGACTAACATATCACTCGTCTATCATGTAGAATTAACATTGTACATGAACACATCAAAGCTACCAATACACGCAATTATGTCCAACTTCTCCTTGTACATGAACATAAGCCATGAACATACCAGTTGTCCCTCTCCTTCTTTTGAACGCGCTTGGCCCGCTCGTTCTTCTCCACCATGCTGCTGATCTGCATCGCATTGCCTCCCTTGGTCACCTGCTGTCCTATCATCAACTGGTGATTGTTCTTCTTCACTTTACCGCTCGCATTTGAGCCGCCAATGACCACCTCCGTTCCGGGCTTCTGGTTCTGTTTGTAGTACACATTAAAGTCGCGGTGACCTATCTTCTTGCCACTGGGCAGTACTAACTCGTCATTCTCGTTGATCTGGATGGTGTTATCCAGCACTTCTTCATCTCCACGGGGATTGTTTTCATCGTAATCGGGGTAACTCGATGAGAAGTCATAGTAGTCCTCATATTCATCGAAGCAATCATCATGATACGCCAGCATCGTATGGCCCTTCTCATTCATATGCGATCGCACGGCTCGCGCACTTCGGAACTCTTTATGATCCGCACAGAATAAGCACAGATTACCTTCTGTGATCTTAAGCCCAAGATAGTTTATTAACCCCTCCAAATCAATCAGATACTCAGCATCTGGTATAAAGAAACTATGCGATAGAGCCATGTGTTGAACATTGTCTTCTAGGCTATCATGGGGTGCTGAACAGAACAAACAGTCTGTAACTTCTAGTTCAAACTCTTCTACATCTTCAATATCTTCGTCATCGTCGTCTTCACCAACACCATCCTGATGTGTGCTATTTTTAGCCTCCGGTACGGGATTGTTTTTAAGTTCTGCCTGTTTTAGTTCATATTCGACCACGGCTTCCTTGTGCTTTTTGGATGTTTTGTGATTAGCAAGCTGATTTTTCGATGCATATGTCTTATTACATGCTACACACTTGCCACTTAATAGCGCCTCTGCCTCTGCGGCGGCCGCCTCAGCTTTCTTGGCTTCAATACGGGCATTAAAATTCTCGGCTGTAACTGGGGGTAGATTGACTACTTTACGCTTCAGATTGTACCTGTGCCAATCATTTCGGTAGTGTGTACGTTGTGATTCCTGACTGGGAAATGCCACCCGACAAGACACGCATGTGTGCATCTGACCCTGTGAAGCGCTCATGGTATTTATCGAATCGAATGTATTGCTAAGACTCACAATTAGAGATATGTGACTGAGATCTGCTGTGTACGGATGCTTACTTGTGTGTTATTGTTACTTCGCCTCCAACTGTATGTATAAAATACAGATTGCAGACCAAAAGAATATATATGCAAGTTGAACTTCTCCTACCTATTGTAATCACAAGACAGTGACGACTAGCAATTATATGTAAATATACACAAGCCAAGATACCATGTATACGACTACGAAATATGAAATTATGAATACACGCGCTATTCGAAACGTGTTTCTTTTGGTCATTGATGTAGTAGTGATAAAGCAGATGGGGGTTTCTCGTCATGCTAAAACCAGGTTTAAACAAGAACTCCTGGAGCAGTAGAGTCCAGGTGACTCAAGCTCCAGGACTCCAGGTAGTATGGGGTGAAGTATATTTATAAATAGATTACATTTCGGAGTTACGCACAGAACAAATACACTTCTTTTTTAAAAACCCCCAAAACTAGTTTGTGGTAAAAAACTAGTAGAGATTTACTCTCCCTCTCTGGAATATTTACAACATTTGTCATATATATTGAAAACCTACTTTCTGGATGCTGAAATGATCGTAAACCTAGTTGTTCATGGTATATTTGGGCTAAGGCCTGTACTTAAGATTACGTTTTCCCCTGGGCAATATGGATAGTCTGGGGTTCTGGGCGTACGTTTTTCCTGCACGTGCCTCTTTCGAACGATCTCCGGTGTACGCGCGCGTGAAAAGTTTACACGATACAAACATAACGTACAAATATACTGTAGCGTACGAACCCTTCCCAAGAGACACAGACACACCCTCGTACTCAAACCTAAGCATAAGCTGCTTTGTATCATATTTATTAACTGTTAATCACAATGTCGATTATGAATCTAGACAAGTTCGATCCCTTTGCGGATGCGGAGACGCGTACTGACGAAGGAGGAGGTCGTCAGGTAGATCTGGTGCACATCCGACTGCAGCAACGTACTGGTAGAAAGACGCTAACCACTGTACAAGGATTATCTGCTGACTACGACAAGAAGCTTCTAGTCAAGGCATTCAAGAAGGAGTTTGCCTGTAATGGTACCGTTGTTGACCACTCTGAGTACGGAGATGTAATTCAGCTGCAGGGAGATCAACGTACTAGCATCTGTGATTTTCTGACTCGCGAGGGACTGGTGCGCAAAGATAAACTCAAGGTCCACGGTTTCTAAGCAGACTAGGTGATTCAAAAATAGAATCAACAACAATAATAATATTATACTATGTCTGTGAATGCTACTGACAGAGGATGGAATAGACCCCCCGGCCACAGCCTCGAGTGAAACTCAATCGGCGTGTCGAATCTCTTGTGTGCACATGGAGACCTTTGTGCGTTCGTTGATGGGAAAATGTGGATCGCATGGCCAGGACAAGCCTATAGGACGCATTTGCATACGTTTGAGACATCTCATTTGCCAAGGCCTAGATCAAACTTATGATTTTCCAGGTGTTAATACGCTCGAAAGTGGTTTTATGCTTTAGGTCAGCTTGCAAATATGGGCCCGTGCTAATTCAACACTTTCAGGGTGATTTGAGGACTGAGAGGGATGCCAGGTTGATGCAACATATCTGGGAATTTACTCGCATTGATGTAGGGGGCATATTCCGTAATGGCTGACTGACATCCATAGTATCTAGTGAGGAGGGAGAGAAATATGTACATAAATTCCGGATGACATGTTGGGAATTACGATTATTATAGTTCGGCATCTGCCGGACTTTGGCTAATATTGTGGGATTAGCGACTTCGTTGTTGTTTGGTCTAACGGGGTGGGCTGAACTGTCGGTTATGTATACCGCTGAATATGCTGTGGGACGATTTTTTTTTGTTGTAGCTTGGTCCTTAGAGTCAACCTGAGAATTATGGTATTGTATTTGAACATGGCTGCATATGCGTATACGTTTGTATGGATTGGTTAATATTTGTATATATACGGTGTCTTGAGTTAAACGTAGGCTGCTATCACCAATTAGTAATCCTATAGATAGTTGTCCGATTTTTGTGTGTGTTGGCATATTATGTTAGTTGTAGGCGTATGAGAAATCACCTAACGTTCTATTCGTGTGCTAGTAAGTGTTGCAGTAGAGTGGATATGTGTAATTCCGGTGTATGCCTTGAGCACCGTTTCGTTATCGGATTGGCTTCGAGAAGGCACTTGCTCCGCACGGAAGTGTATCACAGTGCTTTACTGCTCGAAGTGTAAATATCCGTATATCAATCCATTTATTTCAATGCATTTGTTTCCATGTTTGTGAATAATATTCGGTCGAGGGCAGGGCCGTATGTATGGCTTTGCTCTCCCATATATTTAGTTCGAACTATGGACTTTTGCACATGTATCTGGTTGTCCATCATATTTCATGACACTCAAGTTCAGGGGGTGCCCGTATTGCTTGTTGGGTATAACCATGGTTGATACATTACCCGTTTATCATGACTGAAAGTCAAATTGTAAACTGTTGAAGAATTATTGAGAATTGAAAGTGATATTGTAAGCTGTGTAGAACTATTGGAATTCGCAATCTAAAGAAAATAAATTAAATTATGGGGTTTTATACATTATTGTATTGTAGATACCTTCAGAGCTTATTAACGTGTAGTATCCAAACACAATTTGTATTTATTACAATTGTCCCGCTCACACTCGGACCAAATTTGAAGCAAATGTAGCTTTATATGGTTGTCAGTCGTATTTAACGGCACACAGACTCGGAGGATACCTGTATTGCTTGTTGGCTTGATCTACTGTTGGTACATTCACCCGTCTGCTATTGCTACCCTGCTGTCAGTCTAAAACCCTTCAAATCACCATCATCAGTTCACTATACTTGTTCGTGATCTATATACTAAGGTTTGTCTGTGAGCGAAAGGATTGAAGGAATCAAATTGCGCACTAGTGTTTCTTGCTCACTAAGTTGTTATCGGGTTGTCAGTATCGAAACGGCCCAGTATCCGCTCGCAGTGTGCCACGGTGCTTCTCTACTGCGGGAATCCGTGTTGAACATCGAGAAAATACTGATCGGCAATAATACTTTAAAAAGGTATTCCTTCGCAATCACAGTTTGAGCTCCTGACCTCCTGCACATTTATAAATCTGTGGTGAGACATAATTCAAAACACAAAAGCCTACACCTACACTCCTACACACTGACCTACGGCATATCGCCGTTGCGGATTAGATCCAACCACAGTCGGCACATCTGCGTGACAAAGAAATGTCAATTTAAAAAATACCTTCTACTGTATATCACCAAAGGAATAAGTTAATGGGGTAAAGGGAAGCACTAGTTAAAACATTCTGGCTTTGATCTCTGAAACTGTCATGAACGCTTTAACAGAATAAAGTTATCTAACCATCTCCATGGTAGAATAGAGTTCGCTGTGCGTAGTCGTTACGAGCTCTACATGATTCAGTGAGTTTGGATAGTTTGTAGCAAAATTTGATATGTAATTTATGCAGACTAGGACGTTTTGCGAATTAGCTGCTAAAATAGGATGAATAGAGGAGAAAATGCACTTATGGGCACGTTCAGATTGAGCATGATATGACAGTTCGAGTCGCCATCGAAAATTTCTCATGATATCTGATCTACGGATGGCTGAATCGAATAGACACCACCACACATTCCCCAACTAAGGTATCAGCGTCAATTATTGAGATGTGATCATAGCTGAATACGAAACGGAGTTCAATATGTGATATATCGATATGCTGGTATCATAAGGCTTTGCAGTGCAATTTTTCTTTCCGCACTGCAGGTGGATTTCAGCTTTCTAAAAACAGTATAAACAGGTCTGTATGTCACTGGCATGATGAATACATATATCAGGTCGATGCCATCGTTGACTGCAAGCCGATGTAGATCTATCGGTGCAAAATACTAAATACAACTGATCATATTTAAAAATATGTTCCGATATCACCTCGACGCAGTTTTCACTTGGCCCTGGATTTGGGTCCATGCCAAATTTACGATTTGTTATCGGGAGGAACCTGATTTCTGCTCGAGACCCAAATCCGGAGGGCTATGGGTTTCAGACCTCACTTTAAAATATGCTTTTAAATTTTTTTGGTCACAGTCTTCTTCTAAACATGAATATTTTGGAAAATATGTATCATATTTAAAAATTTCGCAATTGGCGGAATCGGAAACACATGCACTTCATGATGAAAAGATAAGCTCACTTTTTTAGATTTCGTATTTTCGCCTACATAGACACATTTAAGCACACACGGTGATGTGTTAACTAGTTAAATAACTCCCAGTAGAGTAAATAGCGTAGCGCAAACACAACATTCAGTTAGTATGAAGAAAAGGAACGTCAAGAAAGCGAAGGACACATGGACTGTCCCTCAAACACTAAAACAGACAACGGTTGTGTTTGTTAAATGTCCACCATTAATACCGGAGCCCAGGGGATATTCGAAGCCTGTCCAACTGAACGTATGTGACTCAATTAGGTTCCATTTAAAGAGAGTTAATATCGTATACAAACATACTTACATACAAACATACATACATACATACATACATACATGCATGCATACATACATACATACATACATACATACATACATACATACATACATACATACATACATATATACATATAGACAGACAGACATACATACATACGTACATACAAACATACTTACATACAAACATACATACATACATACATGCATACTTACATACATGCATACATACATACATACATACATACATACATACATACATACATACATACATACATATATACATATAGACAGACAGACATACATACATACATACATACAAACATACTTACATACATCCATACATACATACATACATGCATACATACATACATACATACATACATACATACATACATACATACAGACATATATGCATACGTACATACATACACAAACATACATACATACATACATACATACATACATACATACATACATACATACATACTTCCATCCATCCGTACATACATACAAATATACATACATACATACATACATACATATATATATATATATATATACACTTACACACACGCAC